ACCAAAGGGGAAGAGCTGAAGGAGGAAAGGTGGGAGGGGGCTAGGGGAAGAGGTCGGGGGGAGGCAGAGACAAATGTATTTAAAAAGTAAAAAAAAAAAAAAAAAAAAGGTACATAAATATTTAATAACGTACACTGGAAACTATTGTACTATTGTATGTTAACTGTACTTTAAAAAAAAAGATTTTATTTATTTAGTTTTAGAGAGAGGGGAAGGGAGGGAGAAAGAGAGGGAGAGAAATATCAATGTGTGGTTGCCTCTCACAGGCCCCCAACTGGGGCCCTGGCCTGCAACCCAGGCATGTGCCCTGATCAGGAATTGAACCCTGTGACCCTTTGGTTCACAGGCTGGTGCTCAATCCACTGGGCCATACCAACCAGGGGATTATATTTTACTTTAAAAAATATAGAGCAACCCTGGCCAAGTAGCTCCATTGGTTAGAGCATTGTCCTGATACACCAAGACTACGTGTTCAATCCTGGGTCAGGGCACATGCAAGAATCAACCAATGAATGCATAACTAAGTGGAAAAACAAATTGATGTTTCTCTCCCTCTCTCTCTTTCTCTCTCTCTCTAAAAGTCAATAAATAAAAATTAAAAAATATAAAGCATTGCTTGTCATTATTGCTTGTCATAATTGCTTCATAAAGTACTGTATCTTTTCTAAGATTTGAAATTTCACTTTGCAGTGACTATGCACTGTACTGTCCTTCATAAATTCTATTTTCCTGAACAAATACTGTGACTTCTTTAAAATATATTGGGTTGGAGTAAAAGTCTGTTTAGTATTTTCTGTAAAACAAAAGACACATTTTCCATTTTCACCAACAACTTTATAGATTTGGATCTTTTGAGTATGTCAGCCATCTCCTGCATGGTATAACACCAATTGTTCTTAATGTTTCAGTTTGATCACTATCAACTTCAAATGGTCTACCTGACCATAGAGCATCATCCAGCGAGAAATCTCCAGCACGAAACTTCTCAAACCACTTTTTTAAAGAAGATTTTTTTTAAATTTATTTATTTTTTAGAGTGAGGGGAAGGGAGGCAGAAAGAAAGGGAGAGAAACATCAAGGTGTGGTGGCTGCTTGTGTGCCTCCTACTGGGGACCTGGCCCACAACCCAGGCAAGTGCCCTGACTGGGATTCGAACAGGTGACCCTTTGATTTGCAGGCTGGCAATCCACTCAATCAACTGAGCCACACCAGCCAGGGTGCAAACCACTTTTGACACGTTCGATCAGTGACAGCACCTTCTCCATACATACACTGCACAAATCTCTTTTTGCGTTTCAGTTGCATTTTTACCTTTCTTGAAATAATAAAGCATAATATGCCAAAAATGTTGCCTGTTTCCTTCCATCTTCAGTATTAAAATGGCTAAACAAAAATTCACCAGTTTTGATAAGCTTTTTTTTTTTAATGCAAGAGGATTTGACAGGTGTCACAATACAATCTAACAAAATTGTTTAGAATGAAGTTAAAGACAACTAAGAGCTACTAGACCGTCTTACAGAAAAAAGCAAAGGAACTTTTTGGCCAACCCAATATGTTATCAGTCCCCATTCTTAAGTATCCTTTAAGTTTGCCAACCTTTGACTACAGGTTCAAAATCTTTCCCTTGAAGAATGTCAGGTCTCACTTCTCCTACCTGAGTGTAAGACAGCTCCTTTCTCCCTTGCAGACTACAGGACAGTTTCTGAAAGGGGTCTTAGATTGTACTTGTATATAAATAATTTTGATGTAATGAACTGTGATGTGGAGGTACTAACCTCTGGATGGTGAATATTCTGTTCATTATGGAATGTAGTTTTATAAAAAGTCTCATTTTAAAATTCTGAACCTCTGGTCTTTTATTCAAAAACAATAATCATATAAAGAATCCTTTTTGCAAAAATACTCATAGTTTTCCCAAAGGCCTTCTTTAATACTTTGATATTCCAAACACCTTCTTTTGAAGTCGAGGTTCTTTCCCTTTGATTTTCTAAATTGTCAGATGCTCACTTTGCAATGTCTTTGGTGAAGTGTGTGATGTTCCCTAAAATCACTTTAATTGCTTCATAAAGAACTGTATCTTTTCTAAGATTTGAAATTTCACTTTGCAGTGAATACGCACTGTACTGTCCAATGATTAGACAGATATCAATAGAGATATGTTAATTGGGGTGAGATGTTTGAATCAAAAATCATTTTTAAATAGTCAGTTTATTAGTGAATAATTAATTTTTTAAAAGATTTTATTTATTTATTTTTAGAGAGAGAGGAAGGAAAGGAGAAAGAGAGGGAGGTAAACGTCAATGTGCAAGAGGTACGTCGATTGGTTGCCTCTTGCACTCCCCCAATTGGGGGCCTGGCCTGCAACCCAGGCATGTCCCCTGAGTGGGAATCGAACCTGTGACATTTGTTTGCAGGCTGGTACTCAACCCACTGAGCCACGCCAGCCAGAGCTAGTGAATAATTTCATGTTATAACTTTTGTTTCCTTATATGGGTCAAATTGTCCTCCCCCTTCAAATTTATATACTTAAGTCCTAAGCCCCAGTCCCCAGAATGTGATTGTATTTGGAGATAGCATCTTTAAAGAAGTTATTAAGTTAAAATGAAGTCATTAGAATGGGACCTATACCAGTAAGAATGGTGTCCTTACCAAATGCATTCAGAGGAAAGACAATGTAAGGACACAGGGAGAAGATGGCCATCCACAAGCTAAGCAGAGAGGCTAGAACAGATCTCATGTTCCTCAGAATGAATCAAGTCAGCTAACACCTTGATTGTCCACTGCTATCTTCCAGAACTGTGAAAAAGTAAATTTCTGTTGTTTATTTATTTTTTTAAATTTACTTTTTAGAGAGAAGGGAAGGGAGGGAGAAAAAAAGGGAAAGAAACATTAATATGTGATTGCCTCTTGCACACTCCCTACTGAGGATCTGGTCGACAACCCAGGCATATGCCCTGACTGGGAATCAAACCAGAGACCCTTTAGTTTGCAGGTCAGCACACAGTCCACTGATCCACACCAGCCAGGGTTAAATTTCTGTTGCTTAAGCCGCCATTCTGTTCCAGCAGCCCAGCAAACTAATATGCATCATACTCAAAAATCCTCATAACTGTAGAATCCTAACTAGTGTGGCTCAGTGGGTTGGGCATCATTCCTCAGACCAAAGGATCACTGGTTCAATCCCCAATCAGGGCACATGCCTGGGCTGCGGGCCAGGTCCTAGGTTGGGTGTGTGCAAGAGGCAACCAATCAGTTTCTCTCACACGTCAATTTTTCTCTCCCTTTTCCTTCCCTTCCCCTTTCTAAAAATAAATGAATAGAATCTTAAAAATAACCGTAGAAAGTGGATCATGAAAGTGTGAGGGAACTATGGAACACAAGTAAATCACCTGGGTAGGGTGAGGTCAGGAAAGATGCCCTTGAGAAAAGACAGCTAAAGTGAACATTTAAGTAATATGTGTTAGCCCTTAGGGTGGGCCAAGGGGTAGAATATTCCAGGTAGAAAGGACCAAAGACAAAAGACTAAGTTCCAACATGCCTCCCTCCATCTACTTATCACTCTAATTCACTGGATCAGGGTTATGTTTCTAAGACATAAATTGTAACCTTGTTCTCTCAAGACCCTTCCATTGTTTCCTGCTGCATTCAAGATTTTAAAAAACCCAAATCTTAACCCACTCTCCTAGACCTTCAATCACCAGTCCCCTGCCTAATTCCATCATTACTTTGTGTCAATCCACCTTTGCTCACTTTAAGATGCTGTCACACAAGCCTTCTTTAGGTTTTCCCACAGCTTCTTCCAATTTCACGGCTTTTCCCTCAAGCTACTCAATTTTTGTGGAACACTATTCCTACTTCACCTAATTTAACCAATTAATCCCTATTTATCCTTCAAATCTCAGTTGATTAACACAATAGGCTTCTCGCTCTGCGTTTTTTCACAGCACTTATTCCAACTGTAATTAAATGAATGATGCAATTAAAGTCTGTCTCCCTATAATGTAATGTATAATTACATTAAAGTCTTCTCAAGCAGACTATAAGGACCCATGTCTTGGTTACAGCTACACCCCCAGGGTCTGGTATTGTGCCTAACCTATGTAAGCACCTAATAAATATTTGTTCAATGAAGAATAGTGGTTTGATTGGAGAATTAAAATGAGTTTTGTGTGACTGGAGTTTAGAGGGATTTTCAGAAAACCCTCCTAAAATCTCAGTGGCCTCTAATGGGACTATATGTACGATAGAACCTTAGGATCAGAGTGACAAGCCTTGGGGCTCACTCTGTCTCCATCAGGTAGCCTATGCACACAGATGGTAGTGTCTGAGAAAAAAGGCTCCTGTCCCCTTTTCTGATATCGAAAGCTACTAAGATTTTTTTGGCTCGCCATATTCCTAAGCCTGGATACTAACTAGGGTAGGGGATGGAGTGGGAAATCCAAACAGGCCCAGGCCCTGCCTGGCGTGGCTCAGTGGATTGAGCTCCAGCCTGCAAACCAAAAGGTCATTGGTTCAATTCCCAGTCAGGGCACAGGCCTGGGTTGCCGGCCAGGTCCCCAGCAAGGGGCACAAAATGCAACCACACATTGATGTTTCTCTCCCTCTTTTTCTCCCTCCCTTCCCTTCTCTAAAAAAAATAAATAAATAAAATATCAAAACAAAACAAAACAAAACCACAACTCAGGCCCAGCAGTGCAAAGGACTCTCATCGCGATGCTATCAGCACTGAGGTGGTGACCAATTTTTTGCATTCTCAGGAAGAAAACAAGGGGCACCGTGATGGCGGTGCATGTAGTGCTCACAGCTGCCTGTAGATGGCGCCAGTCCACTAATGTACCTAAGTCAGAAAAGCAGAAATGGACTTTAGTTCCATCCTGGTTCCTCCAGAACCAAGAAAGACAAGGGACTTCCAGCTTAAGGCAAGTAGTGCCCAGCATCACTAAGGAAAACAGTTTTCATTTCAGGTCCGACCATACAAATAAGACAGTAAGTAGTGTAGATATTCCAATGGCTTTATTAACTCGCTTTTTCTGGGGGTGGCAGAACCGTGTAGCTGGAGAGCTGGAAAGGAAGCTGTGGTTTCAGTACGGGTCATTAAAGGGGTAAAGAGGGTGCCCTGCATCTCTTGGGACCCTCTTCCCATCCACCTGGAGAGAGAGAGAGAGAGAGAGAGAGAGAGAGAGAGAGAGACCCCATTAGGAGTTAATATTTCAAAGACACAGGACATCTTTCCCCAAAACTTCCTGAATCTCCCTTGTGTTCAGCATGATACCAGATGGTAGTGACAGGGCCCTGGCCTCAGGAAATACAACAGTATCAACAGTATTCCCATCAAACCCACAATCTGGCACATAGAGTTGCAGTCTCAGCTGGAAAGGAATTCTCTATTTCCTGTCATGAACTGGAATCACTTTATAGATTGGAAGCTAAGGCTTGGAGAAGTTAAATAATGTTCTAGCTTACAAGATACAGAAAAGCAGGACCTGGATTCACAGACTCTAAATGCCTTATCCCTGAGCCACACTACTTCCCCAAGATGAATAAAAAGAGCCAATTGTGTCCAGGACAGCAATCCTACCAACACCACCATTCTGCCTCTCTCTGACTAGCAAAGTTAAGGCCAGACTTGGGCCAGAATCCTGCTCCAAATCTAAGATTCACTGATTCTGGGTGGGGACAAGGGGAGGGTGAAACATACCGTAAGCAGGGGCACGATGTATCGCCAATTTTTGTTCAGGGAATCTAGCTGCTTCATCTCTTCTGGGGTAAAGGTGAAGTCAAAAACCTGAGGATGTGGAGTTGGGGGTCAGGAAAGCCAACTTTGTAAGTAGAAGTCAGGATCCCAGAAAACTGACTTCTTAGGCAGAGTCAGGGCCAGACTGTCCCAATGGGCTCAAGAAGACAGGGCCTGTCACTTAGTACCTGGATGTTCTCAAGGATACGGGAAGGTGTGATACTCTTAGGGATGGTGATCACTTCTCGCTGGACCTGCCACCTAAGGGGAGGATTGAGGTAGATAAGGAAGAGAAGTCAGTACTCATAAGCATTGTGTTGTCTTCCAAACAGCCTTCTTTAAGCTCCTAGAGGCCCTGAGCCCCACTGAAACAGGGAACATGCTTCAGAGTGGCCTCCCCTAGATCACATAACAAGAGTCTCAGACTCATCCAGCCACTTAAATAAGAACCCCCTAAACCCTTGCCTCCCAACTCAGAAGCCCTTTCCCTGTCCCAACCTCCTTTCCCCAACATTGCCTGCACCTGAGCAAGATCTGAGCTGCAGACCGGCCATACTTTTCAGCCAGTGCCAGGACCACCGGCTCCTCAAGCAGGACAGGCTCATCAGGATTATGCCAAGCACGATCAGGAGAGCCCAGGGGGCTATAAGCAGTCACCTTCAGGCCACGTGCTTGGCAGTGGGCAATCAGCTCCTTTTGAGCTAGATATGGGTGGCATTCCACCTAAGCCAAGAAACAACCCATCACTATGAAATGGCCACATGTAGCTTGCCTGGCTGCACCCAGACATATCATCCTGACCAACCCTGCACTGCTGACCACCTCCCAACTTCCCTTCAGCCCACTTTTCTTACTCTGTTTCACTGCCCATTTCACTCTCATCCCATACTTCAGTCCCTTTTTTTATGCAGAGGAATCCTGCACCAACATTTCTGACATCTTGCTAGCTACCTCCATGAAGTAGACCTATCATCTGCTCACTCATGCTCATGCACATACTCATCCCCAAAATAACTGATCTGGTATGCTGTGCTCACCTGCAGGACAGCTGGGCGCACAGAGGCCACACTGAGCAGGTCATCGATCTGCCGACTGCTGAAGTTGGACAGGCCCAGTGCCCGCACCAACCCCTTCGCCACCAGTGCCTCCAGAGCTTTCCAGGTCTCCTTGTAGTCAATGAAGTCATAGCGGAGAGTCCCATCAGCATTCTTAGGGAATGGGTCATCTCCCCGCCTGAGTGAAAGACAGCACTCCCAAGTGTGGGCACAAATGCCAGGCTTTTGCCTTACCTGCCCATCCAGCTACTCTATGTCCCATACTCCAAACCCACAAAGAGCAAAGGGCCAAGAATGAGAAGTCTTCCTTAATGTCTTCCTTCTGAAGAAGTTGCACACTCTTGCAGCTGCATTCTGGCACAGGGCACAAAGCTAATGGTAGGCTCCTCTCACTCTCTCTGCTGGAACTTATTATTTACTTCAACCCCAGGGCCTACGTCAGCAGAAGCTAGTACCTTTCCTGAATAAAAGGAACAGGAGGGAGCAGTCACGCATACCCAAGGATATGTCTCACGTGAAGCCACACTCCTTTTTCTGTAGCTAAACTCCTAGCAGAAAAGACTGAGTTCCCATGCCAACCAAGCTCCTTAGCTTGCCACAGAGATGAGTGTTCCTATCCTACTCTGCTACTGTGACCTATTATGTTACTAACATGACTCCCCCAATCACCAACTCCCTGAATAAAGACCCTGGCAAAGCTCACTCAAAGGCATAAGGCCAGTGTATCAGGTACAGGTCCAAATACTCCAGTTGGAGGTCAGCCAGCGTCTTCCGGAGGGCAGGTTCCACATCCTCGGGGTGGTGCTTAGTGTTCCATAGCTTGGAAGTCACAAACAGCTCCTCCCGAGACACTGCCTGGTGTAGGGGGTAGGGCCAATAATGACAAAAGCCATGGGCATCCAGTCTCACCCACCCTCACCTCTGGGAGAGCAATGAGAAGGGAACTGATGCCAGGCCCCTTTAGCCAGGCCCCTGCTCCAGCCCCTTGGATCTCGTACCCCATCCCTCTGCAGCCCCAGTTCTCACCTTGCCAGGTCCCACGTTCTCCTTCAAGGCCTCCCCAATCTCAGGCTCATTGCCATAGATAGCAGCACAGTCAATGTGGCGGTAGCCTATACTCAGGGCATACTTAATAGCTGCTTTTACCTGCCAGGTGAGAGAGCAGAGAGTTGCAGCTCTGTTGGTCTGGGTTAGAAATTGCCCCTTTGAGGGTCACTGATGTGGGGAGGGGTGCAGGAACATACCTATGCAGTGGGGGTGAGACGATGGATTATGGTTCTGGTACAGGGGACCAGAAGCCTCAAACCCTTTGTCCCCATCCCACTAACCTCCAAGGTTCCTTCCTACCCAAGATCTCAGCCAGGCCCAGCAAAAAACTAACGTGTTCCCAGCTACATGCTCAGAAAATGGATACTTTGACAGAGGACAGAAGTATAGGTCATGGAGACACATTCCCAGCCCTGAGGAGCTGGTTAGGGAAACATGATACACAGGTAAGTAGTTCCTAGGCCAAGGCCATTCAGAGAAAGACCCTCAGGGAGCCATGCAAACCAAGCAAGGTCTAGGGGATCAGGCAAGCAGAGGAGGCAGGGTGGAGGGGAATTAAGGAAGGTAGAGAAGTGAGATGGAAGCTGGGCTCAGAGCCTCCTGTCAGGAGAGGAAAAAGCAGGTGCCAAGTAGGAGGACAGGTCAGTTAATGTGCTAAAAACCCGACTAGAAACATGGCATCAGAAGGTGCCACGCCTTTGCATTAAATATCCCCATCTAGCTGCAGCTCTTACTCTCCAGGATATTCCCCCACCCCTGACCCTACCCCTGATGTCCTGTCCTCCCTCTCCCCACCTTCTTGGCCCTGGCTCTGAGCTCCACCCTTGCCTTCATCTAGCTCCTGGGCCATGTCAGTGCCTGCCTGGAGCACAAAGACCCTGGCTCCGGAGTCCTAGGCAGCTGTAGGAAGGAAATCAAAGGAGGAAAAGGCAGAAATCATCCAACCACAACACAAACACTAGAGAGAGAGTTGAGGCTGTTCTCGCTGCATGGGTCCCTCCCAAACTTAATCCCCAAAATTTTCTGAACTCTGACTCAGATGTCCAAGGAAGAATGACACAGCCCTGGAGAGATGCCCACCATTCAGGTGGATGCTGAATCTCTGGCTGTCATCCCTAGGGAAACGGGCCTCCATTCCCAGGTTCCCCAAGGCTGGAAGGGTGTACCTGAGGGACCATTAAACTCCAGCTCACAGCCACCTTTTGTGTTTTCCAGCCCTTGAGCTAAAAATGATTTCTATATTTTTAAATAGTTACACAAGTATATAATCACCTCAATTTCGCAACTTGTCCAGCAAAATCTAAATTATTAACCATCTGGTTAAGAAAATGTTTGCTAACTCTTGGTCTATACGTTTGACCTAGTTATTCTTCAATCCCTGACACCTGCTGTGTGCCTACTTCTGGAATGAGCACTAGTGAGAGAGGCCCAGCCCTCAAGGAGCATAGTGTGGGGCAGGAGACATGATCACAGCACGGAGTGACAAGTGACTATTAGGGGTCAGCAAAGGGCCAAGCACAGAGGGGTCCCACATCTGCAAGTCACTCGGTATAGATCCAGGTGGGGAAAGGGTTTCTTCCTATGCCCTTGGCCCTGCTGACCCCCTCAGCCCTTCCTCTGTGTCAGCTGGGGAAACCAAGGACACACTTCTAGGCCCTTCTTCCCTTGTTCCTCCCACTGCCCTCCAGGCTCACCCCACCTTAGGTGGAGTACAGGGGTGTGGCTGCTAGGGAAAATGCAGGGACTCTCTCTCAAAAACTGCTTTTTCCCTAGCAGAGGTGCAAGAGGCCCTTCCCTTCTTCTCCCGTCTCTCACTTGGCCAGGGCTGCTCTTCCAGGTGCCCAGTCCAATCAGGGGCATCTTCTGCCCAGTGTGCAGGACAAGACAGGAAGCTGCCATTGCCTCCTGAAACATAAATGGGAAGAGAATGGTGTGGGGATCAGTGCTGTTACTTGGGCTTCGGCTACCTACTGGTCAAGACTCCTGTAACACATGGGTGGCAAAAGGGGCACAAAGGCGATAAGAGAACAAACATGTGGTTGTGTGTATGTGCCTATGAGCAGAGGGAGCTGAGACAGAGTGCCCAGAAGCAACCACATCCAGTAGCTCCTGGACAAACACTAACCAACCCTCAGCTTGGCTGCCTGTCCTTCCACCAGGCTAAAGGTCTGTGTTAAAGAGCTCCAATACCTAAAGACAAAGGCAGGGGTAGCTTCCCACAACCACCCAGCCTTGACTACATAAGGTCTTAAGCTAGTGTAAGACAAAGGCCACTGTGAGTCAGTGTGAGACAGGGTGACAGAACAGGCTCAGGAAAGGGTCAGTTTTCTAAGGATGAAATAAACATTCCCAGAAGATTGTCAGAACTACATACAGAGACTCTCTGAGTCCCTCTCAAAGAGGAACTCCCTGTGCTCACTCCAGAGGAACACCATGCTGGTAGGCTTCAGTGTGCTCTTACAAGGGTAGTACACCATCTTTTAAAGATTTTATTTATTTATTTTTAGAGACAGAGGAAGAAGACAGAAACATTGATGGGTTGCCTCTTGCACACCTCCAACTGGGGAATTGGCACACAACTCAGACATATGCCCCGACCAGGAATCGAACAGGTGACCTTTTGGTTCGCAGGCTGGTGCTCAATCCATTAAGCCACACCAGCCAGGGCGGGAAGTATGCCATCTTTTAGATGAATAAAATAGGCTAAAAGCGGTCAAGTTATTTGCCCCAAATTCACAGCTAAGAAGTGGCAGAGCCAAGAATCCAAGGAGGAGCTAATGGAAAAAAGCAAGAAAAAGGGAGGTAAAGACAGACCTATAAAATACATGTGCTGATAGTAGACACATGCATAATGTGCTACAGAAAACAAGTGACTTCTGTAGGATGAGAGCCAGGGAATAATGACATTTGCTTTCAAGAATGAGTTGGATTTTCCCTAGAGTTAAGGGGAAAAGTCTTTCCTGGAAGGGGAACTAGACACAGGACTTCCATGCAGCAGAAAGTAACTGAAATTCAGGTGTGAGAAAATTTCCAACAAAACAAAAGCAGGTGGGTGATTGGAACAAACCCCTTTGGAGAGCTCTGAAAATCAGAAGTCTCCAAATGGCCCAAGAATACTCATTCAGTCAGCAAATGATGAATTTTCCAGGCCTTGTGACAGACTCACATATTCATATAGAGTCCCTGCCTTCCAGGAGCTTATAATCTGATGGGGGGGGGGGGGAGGGGGAGGTGGGGCGGACAGAGGATATCAGCACAATGCATAAAAAATGTGACCAAAATCTGCACAAGTGCTTCAAGAGAAGAGTAAGCTGGCTAGGATGGCTTCTTGAAGGTGATATCTGAGTCAAGTGTTAATGAACAGGAGTTATCCAAGTGAGAGGGAAAGAATATAAAGAATGTTTGCTCACTCCAAGAGCCAATAAGGTAGAAATCTTTTCCCTTGATCTCATCAGTACTATAAAATATTACTCTTGCAGGACTGGTTTCATTGTCAGCAATACCTTTATAAATATAACCTTTGTTTCCTAGTTCTGAAAAGACATCAAGAGTATTATGCTAGCCCTGACTTGTGTAGCTCAGTGGGCTGATCATGCAAACCAAAGGGTCACCAGTTCAACTCTGGGTTGGGGCACATGCCTGGATTGCAGGCCAGGTCCCTGAGAGGCAACCAATCAATGTTTCTTTCCCTTTCTTTCTCCCTCCCTTCCTCGCTTTCTAAAAATGAATAAGCAAAATCCAAAAAAAAAAAAAAAGAAGAAGAAGAAGAAGAAGAAGAACTATGACCAACATGGCTCAGTTACTTGGGCATTGGCCCACAAAGTGAAAGGTTGCTGTTTTGATTCCCTGCTAGGGCACGTGCCTGGGTTGCAAGTGTGGTCCCAGGTCTTGTCCCAGGTCGGGGCACTTGTGAGAGGCAACCTATTCCTGTTTCTCTTCCTTTCTTTCACCTTCCCTTCCCCTTTCTCTAAGAATAAATAAATAAAAAAAAAATTTTTTTAAGCTTAAAAAAGGAAAAAGAGCCCTGGCTGGTGTGGTTCAGTGGATTGAGGGCCGGCCTGTGAACTAAAAGGTCACCAGTCAGGGCACACGCTTGGGTTGCGGGCCAGGTCCCCAGTTGGGGGCATATGAGAGGCAACCAATCGATGTGTATCTTGCGCATCGATGTTTTTTCTCCCCGTCTTTCTCCCTCCCTTCCCCTCTCTCTAAAAATAAAAATAAATAAAATCTTTTTAAAAAAAAAGAAAAGAAAGAGTATCATGGTAGAGCAGGTAATAAGGCAAGTTGTATGTACAACCTACACATCAAAATTGTCTTTCCTAATACCTCTGACTCAGGAAGAATTTTATAGTCTAGCATAACTAGTTACGGAGACCACTTATTTCTGCTGAAACAAAATGTTCAATCTGGGAAGCAACCCGCAAAGATTGCTGAGAGCGATACTCTTTGTTACCAGACTTCCCAGGAAACAGGTAAATGTGTCTGGACTTTCACTGGAGGAACTAGCCTGCCAGCTACCACAAGGGTTTGTGACTGGTCTCCTGGATTTGATCCACAAACGAGTGACCTGTTGGCCTCCCCTAGATTTCCCAGCACATAGAGGAGGCTCTGAAATCACACCTGGGCTGAGAGCTTGAACAAAAACCATGCCTAAGGTGAAAAGGAAGAAGAAACCTGATGCTTGTTTCTCCCTTTTGTTGGTGAAACTGAAAACCAAAAGGGCTGAGGCTTGAAGGGGCAGGGATCATGGAGGTAAGAAGACCTAACAAAGATCTGCAAAGAATAAGAGCTCCAAAGAAGGAAATGGAGGGGCCCTGGCAGAAGAATGAGGTTTTTCCCTAGGACAGAAAGTCATCCTCTGCCAGTTCTTGACTTCCTCATCTTCTGCCTGAGACAACAGCTTTCCAGCCTAGCCCTTCATTAATAGGCTAGGAGCTTGTCAGGAACTGCCTCACTGGACCTCATGTTATGTTAGGAAAGGTTCTAGATATAAAAGAGAGAGAAGCTGGGTGTGTGCACGGGGAAAGGGGGAAGAGGGTGGCATGAGGAGTCAGGTTTTATTATCCCCAAGTTAGCACCTACCTTCTTTCTCAATGGGGTTTAGTATTCCCTTCTCAGTGGAGGGCTCTACAGTTGCCAGCTGGATGCAGGGAACTAGAAGACAAAGGAAAAAAAGGAAGCAGTATTGCATGAGTGTTTCCTAGTTGCATGGGCCTTTCTTCCGCCTCCCATAAATGGTGTCCCTCAAGGTTTTATTCCCAATCCTCTTTTGACTCTCTAGTCGAGTTCATTCATGTCTTCACGTATTACCTTAAGCACTGATTCTTCTCAACCCAGTTCTGTATATTCAGCTCCCTCCGTACATCTCCATAAGTGTGTTCTATAGATATCTGAAACTCAACATATCCAAAACTACACTTGACAATGTGTCCACAGTATAATCCATTGGGTCTTTAATTTTTTAGATTTTATTTTTAGAGAGAGGAGAAGGGAGGGAAAAAGAGAGGGAAACATTGGTATGTCAGAGAAACTTCAATGGGTTGCCTCTCGTGAGGCCCCTGGGGACCTGGCCCACAACCCAGGTATGTGCAATGTTTTGGTTCACAGGCCAGTGTTCAATTCATTGAGCCACACCCACCACAGCTGACTGGGTCTTTAAAAAGCCATCTAAATAAAGTATTGCAATTCATTTGAGGCATTTCTGAGTATTACCAGATTATGGTTTGACAGGTGTTAGGGAGGGAAATGTATCTTTTCCTGCACTTAAAAAAATTTATTTATTTTTAGAGAGAGGGAAAAAGAAGGAGAAAGAGAGGGAGAGAAACATCAACATGTGGTTGCCTCTAGTGTGCCCCTACTGGGGACCTGGCCCACAACCCAGACATGTGCCCTAACTGGGAATCGAACTGGCGATCCTTTGGTTCGCAAGCCAGCACTGAGTCCACTGAGCCACACCAGCCAGGGCTCTTCTCCTGTACCTCTAAGAAGCCAGCATGGAAAGCCACCTTATATATGTCATGGTTAACAAAATTCGGCCTTTGGCTAGGTTAAAAATCCTGTTAATACTTATAAATATAAAGAAAGGTACTGCCCCGACCTGTGCGGTTCAGTTGGTTGGGCACTGAACTGCAAAGCAAAAAGGTCACTGGTTCCATTCCTGGTCAGGGTGCATGCCAGGGTTGAGGGTTTGGTCTCTGGTCAGGACATGTACAAGAGGCAGCAGATTGATGTTTCTCTCTCACATTGCTGTTTCTCTCCCTGTCCTTCTCCCTACCTTTCCCTCTCTCTAAAAATAAATACCAGGAATATCTCTGCTTCCAGTGTCACCCCTCTCACCACAATCCACCAACTAAATCTGACCATGTGACTCCCAGGTTCAAACTCTTCCAGCAGTTCTCTACTACCCAGGACAAAGTCTAGACTTCTTAGAATACCCTTCATAATCTGGATCCCACATTCCTCATTTTCCCTCATTTCATACTCCACGTTTTAGACTTTGCAGAACCAACTACCACTTAATTGATTCCAGGCTCTGCACACTTTCCCAACTCCCACTTTAACCTGGCTAATTGCTGCTCATCCTTCAGCTAGCACTTTAAACTTCTGGCTCCTCCCATGTACTGATAGATTATGCACACTGCTGCACTTGTATGTTATTTAAGTTTCCCCCACAAACCTGGGTACTCCTTGAAGTCCAAGCCTGTCATCTGTCTGAACCCCTTACTTCTACACTGTCTGCTGCATACATGCATAACACACAATGAACACACACACACACACACACACACACACACACACAGAGGCAAAGGGGATCGATCTTGATAGCTGGACAGGCATTTGAGAACACCACTGCTTTCCTCCTTTACTTCTTGGGTAATCTGGAGTCATCGATGGAAAATATCAAACTTTACCATCTTCCCCCCAAAAAATCCCAGTGGCTCCAGACAGGATGATACTAAGATTACTCCTGTACAAATTAAAAAAACAAAACAAAACTGAGACCTTGGAAAAAATAACAGGCCCAATGAGAACCGTGAAGACTCTTCTAAGGGAGGTCCTGCAGCCCTGAGTACGGTCAAGCGGAAGGGGACAATTAATAACAGCCTGATATGGTGAATGTTCAGATTCTAGTCTTACTGTAACAGAGCTCTGGGGCAACAGAAAAGCAAGCCCCAATCCAAGGCGCATGCCTAAGTAGGCAAACTCTATCCCCTTCTGCCACTTTAGAGAACCATCTCTACAATTTCACAGAAAGGTCTGATCTCGTGGAAAAAAACCGTGTTGGTGGGCAAACAAAATGAAAGATGGCAACTAAAACTTACTGAGCATTTAATATGTGCCCAGGTCTTTAAAAGCTTTATGTCACTTAATTCTCCCTACATTTCTTACGAGATCAGGAAGGTTCAGTGTGGTTTGGCCGTAGAGAATTCTCTCTACATTTCTGATGTAGGAACTCATTTTACCGCTGAGGAAATACAGGTCCAGAGAAACAGAATTTATTCAAGATCACACAGGGAACAAGAGGAAGAGTTCAAATCTGAAACCAAGTCTGGCCCCCCTCCACAACCTGCGCTCTCCACTCTATCCCGTGGGCGGACACCTCTTGAAGGAAGGATCAATGCCAGCTCCTCTAAAAGAAAGGTGGGGTAGCAGCAGGAGAAACTCACCTCTGCACGAGTACTGAGCGCGAAAAAGGTGGTACTACCTCGCCTCAGTTCTGAGCCCTGCTAGCGATCCAATCAGCCTCAGCTTCCGGGAAGTTGGCCTCATCAGGGACGAGTTGACGCAGGGACCTGTCTTAAATTTGACTGTAAAGAGAAAGCTCCTCCCAGAGGAGGGGCGAGGGCAGGGCATTCGGCCATAGTCCTTAGGTGGACCCCGCCCCTGCCTCAGTGAGAGAGCTTGCAGGTGCAAGCCCGAGTTAGGAATCTGCACCATCTCTTCCTCTGGGTGCTGATTGGCGGGTTGGTCGGAGCTTAGACACAATTGTGCAAGTTTGGAAAAGGCAACGGTGGAGTTAAACTTGCTCCCGCTGCGTACTTGGGGCTGAATCAGGCCGCGCCTCTGCTGGCCCATATTGCACTGCGCGTCGCAGCGACGCCGCTCTGGGAGCCTCGAACGTCTCCTGCTACAGGAAGGAGAGACTCAAGTACCTTTTCTTTTGGTGCCTGGTCTTCCTCCAAGTTCACTTAACCGAACTCTAGCTCCCTTCCCCCTTAAAGTCAGGTTGGCCGGGTCCCCAGAATATACCTAAGATGCACCCCTTAATTTGGTCAGGCAAACAAGCCCAGAGAGTAGCCACAACGCAAAGGTTGACCATAAAAGAAAGACCTCAGGTCTCTAGACGCCAAGAGATACAAAAGTTTGTGGTTTCTGTCTGGACGATGGACCCTGGCCACGCATTTATTGGCCAGGCATTAATGCTAGACTTTTATTAGTATTAATTTGACAGAGAAACATCAACACGTGGCTGCTGCCTTATCTATGCATGCATTTGTTGACCATTATGTGTGCCTCCATGGGGGTTGACTGGCAACCTCAATGCCTACGGAGGATGCTCCAACCAACTGAGCTACTGGGCCAGGGCTGTGCTAGACGTTATAAATGTGATTTTATGCAACATTCACAGTAGCCCTGGAAGCAGAATGTTCTTTTTAATTTTATTTCTTGTATGTATTTTTATTGAAGTATATAGGGTAGTGTACATACAGAAAAATGTACAAATCTTAAACGTACAGCTCTATGATTTTTTTTTTCAATGTAACTACTATCCAGGTGAGGATAACAGGTTATCAGCACGCTGGAAGCCTCTCAGAATTACTCGCAGTCTATTTTACAGATTGGACAGATTCAGCAAGGTAAAGTAGCTTGCCCAAAGTCACACAGCTATTAAGTTACAAATTTGAAATATAAAACAGCCCCTGCCTCTTGAGCTGTGTCTTGCTTTATATCTTCCTTGGCAAGAGTGGCCAAGAAGCAGGGTAGAAGCAGGGTAGTCCCAGGGTAGCTCTGCCTTTCTCTCCCCACACTTCTGGCTCCCCTGCTCCTCTCTACTCCCTTGAAGACACTCTTTTTAAATAAGATTTTATTTATTTATTTTTAGAGACTAGGGAAGGGAGGGAGAAAGAGGGGGAGAGAAGCATCTATCGGCTGCCTCTTGCATGTCTCCAACTGGGTAACTGGCCCTCAACCTAGGCGTGTGCCCTGATTGGGAATCGAACCTCTGAGCTTTCCGTTCATAGGTGGGCACTCAATCCACTGAGCCATACCAGCCAGGGTTTTTTGTTTTGCTTTCTTTTAACCACGCTGGATTTACCCACGTTGTCTCAATACAAATGTGTCCTGAGGGAGCAAATGTCCATCGTTTCACACTATCTATTCCCATAAAGATGCTTAGATTCCACCTTACGTAATCAAAATTTAGCATGCCTCAAACTTATCTTAGCCCAATAAAAACTTACTATCAACAGACAGACACATGCTGTGTATCCACCCCTCTCACCATCTTCTCCAGGGTCTGATGCATTCCCTCCATCTTTTCTTCTGTCGAATCTTTTAAAATTATTTATTCATTTTTGAGTCTGACTTTTTAAAAGCCTGAAGTGCAACAATGAACTGATAACTACCACCTGATTAACTGCTGAGTCATTGTTGTAACACTCCCAGCTCCCATGGCCTTAGGCTTTTGATGTTACTTGTAGCCTTAAGACATTGTTAGATGTTAGGCACAACCAAATTTAGCCATCCTAGAAATTTCAGATCAATGGGTCTAATTGATGGGTGTATTGTTTTCTAAAATAGATGGGCTTGACAGCACACCACCTCTTTCACAATCCTTCTCCAACTTTAGAAAAGGATAACAATCAGCTTCTAGGATGCATTGTCCCAATGTAAAAACCTTGAGGCCACTAAAAAAAGGGACTCTTGGAAATAGTGACTACTCTAATGACTGGATCCTAAACTCTTATGCAAGTCATTTCCAATTCTTTGTTTTGAAAACTGTTGGTAGGCCATAAAAAGTAATTTTGGATAATAGATTTTGTGATTTGGGGCATATAACTTGGAAAGAGTTAAAACAAGTAACATCGCTTTAAGACTTTTATTTTCTTTTTAGATTTTTTTTTAAATTTATTGATTTTAGAGAGGGAAAGAGAAACATTGATTTGTTGTTCCACTTATTTATGCATTCATTGGCTTATTCTTTTTTTTTAAATCATGTTTATTCTATTATGGTTGTCTCAGTTTTTCCTCCTTTGTCCTCCTCCACCCATCCACCCCACCACTCTCTCCCACAGTCAGTTCCCATTCTGTTGTCCATGTCCATGGGTCATTCATACATGTTCTTTGTCTAGTCCCCTCCCCTTCTTTCCACCATTGTCCTCCTTCCCCATCACCTCTGGTCACTTTCAGTCTGCTCCATGTTTCCATGCCTATGGTTTATTTTGTTTGTTAGTTTATTTTGTTGAATAGATTCCACTTATAGGTGAGATCATATGGTATTTGTCTTTTACAGACTGGTTTATTTCACTTAACGTAATATTCTCCATTCCATCCATGTTGTCGCAAAAGGTAGGAGTTCTTTCTTTCTTTCTTTCTTTTAAAATGAAAATTGATTTTATTTATTTATTTTTTAAATGTCAAAATCCATTATAAAATATTAAAAAATTTAAATCCATTAAAAGTCTCAGCAATTAAAACAACATGACACAAGCACAGAAATAATCAAGTAGATCCGAACATTCTAGAAACAAACTGTCTGACAATATATGATTAAATTGATATTTCAAGTCAATGGGGAAAATAAGGCTTATTCAACAAATAAAGTGCATGGACTACTATTACTTGAAATAAAACAAATATAGAGCCCTATTTCACATATTATACAAAAAATATTCAGGTGAGTTAAAAATCATTATGTAAAATCTAAGGAGTTTTAGGAGAAAATACAAAATAATATTTTTCTCACCCTGAAGTAAAATATTCAAACCCAGAAGCTATAAAGTAAAATATTGACAATATGACTATATTAAACATTTAAGACTATACAGTAATATACATATAAAAAAGTTAAAGGACAAGTAATAGAATAGGAAAGTATTTGCAGCATCTAAAAAAGGGTTAATAATTTTGTTTTTTTAGGGAAAAAATTCTACAAACAGTCAAAAAATGGATGAAAAATACCAAAAAGTCATTTAAAGCTTTTTAAAAGTAATAGAAATAGTCAAGAAATATACAAAAACAGGGTTAGTTTCAACAAATAATGAAGTAACAATTAAAATAACACATCATTCTCAAAATCAGATTAGTAAGTATTAAAGATATTGGTAATGTCAGGTATTGGTGACTGTGAAAGGAACTGGGTGTTATTCATAGACTCTTTTTTTCATCCTAAAGCAATTCCTTTAGCATATCTTGTAATGCTGGTTTGGTGGAGATGTATTATTTTAGTCTTCTTTTGTCTGGGAAACTCCTTATTTCACCTTCCATTTTAATTGAGAGCCTTGCTACGTAGAGCAATCTCAGTTGCAGGCCTTCACTTTTCATGACTTGGAATATTTCTTGCCATTACCTTCTGGCTTGTAGTGTTTCTGTTGAGAAGTCAGCTGCTGGGAAACGCCCTGCCTGGTTTCAGGAGATGTAACCCTGCCAACATGCTGGAGGGCCCCAAGGCTGGAAATAATCAGGAGGCCTTGGAGAAACAGGCTCCTGAGGCTTGACCTGTACCCCCCCAGCAGGGGGATAGCTCCTGCCTCTCTGCTTTGCCTTATGATGGTCCCTGTTAATAATGGGTAAGATCTCTCAGGGGAGGGGCAGCCTAAGCCAGGCACCTATCGATATAGGCAGCAGACAAGAAACTGGGGGACAAGGAGAAGGGGCAAAAACACCCTCACACCTCTCAGTTTGGCTTGGACACGGCTGGAGTCCTCATTGCAGCCAAGAAGCAGTCTTCTTATTTCTTGGTGGTTCCCTCCCCACACCTGACTCGGGCTTGAAACAGTGCAGGAGTCAGCTCTAAAGCAGGTCTGGTGGTTGCCAGGGAAATCAGGCCTAAAAGTAATTTCTTTAAAGTGTGCTTTGGTCTTTCCTCGGATCTCTGGCCAGCTCATGGTGCGAAGGACATTCACATTATTTACACCCCTTACCCTTTATCATTAATGCGCTTGCCCTTATCTTCATTCTCTTTTGTTTATACTGGTTTCCTCTCGGACCCATGTAAATCAGTGTCATTTGTTTTCTTAAAAGCATCTATTCTCTGTGAAACTTAACATACTAATGTAACGAAATTACGTATGCATTCCTGTTACCTAGCCCCACTGATAAGGTTTTCAATAAAAGCCTTGGAACAAAGGGCAACAGGGTCTTCCCCACTAGAGGGATGTGCCACGGCCTTCTTCAGTAAGAGGGAAGTGCCCTCGTCAGCTCTCCCGGCAAACGTTTGCAACGTTTTGTGTTTATCCCCCTCATCTGTGACAACCCCAGGACGGGCTCTGCAGGATTCAGAGTGCTGCTTCCACCTCAGCTGGCCCCAGCCAGTATCCCTCAAGTTCAGGGAGCATCGTGCTCTCTGCGGTGCTCGCCCGCGGCAGTGCTCCCCGTCTAGCCGTTGCGCAGTGCAGCAGTCAGCTGCTAGTCGTATCGGGGCTCCTTTGTATGTTACTACCTCTTTCTCCCTTCCTGCCTTTAGGATTCTCTTTTGTCTTTGATATTTGCCATTTTGATTACGATGTGTCTTGGAGTGAGCCTCTTTGGGTTCCTCTTGAATGGGACCCTCTGTGCTTCCTGGACCTGTGTGATTTTCCCCTC